GCCGTCCGCACCTTGTGCCAAAACTGATCCTCCTGCTACTTCTTGAAACCCTGTGAAGGTGGAGCACGTCGACGTCGGAATGTGAAGTGGCTTTGCGTGCCTCTATGCACCTCCAGGTACTCCACTGTCCAGCTGCGGCCATTGCAACACAGGCCGACACACACTCACTGACACACACAGACAGACACACACACACACACACTCACATCATTCCCTGGTATCCAGAGGGGATCTTCTATGTGGAGATCTCCTTCCTGCTCCTTACTGCTCACTCGCGCGCAGTTTAGTCATTCCGGGTGCCGGAGTATGACGTCATAATCCGGCATCACTACAGACGGCGTGCGAGGGAGCATTGAGGAGAAGGAAGAATTTTAGCAGAGTAGGCACCTGCAATGTGGAGAAAGCAGGTGCCTACTCTGCTTTAACACCAAGCATGTACTCGCGGCTCACCGGGCCGCAAAGATGTCCATTGTGGGCCGCGAGTTTGACATGCTTAGTGTACAAAAAGCACTTTTCCCATGATGCTGTGAGTGTATATGTGCATTGGTGGCTCCCAAATTGTATCACTGGATTACAATAATTTATTTGCTGGGTTTATGACATGATTTGTTTTGAGGGGGGAGTGGAAGACAATTCACACCTAATTTTTAAAACTTTGCAAAATGTAATCAGAACTTCCAATTTAAGTTCTACTGTTGAAAAAAGCTTCAAGGAATTAAATTAAGAGCATGAAAACTATTTGTAAAGTTGTCTTGTAAACCTAAACAGAAATGAAAGCTATCACTATTCTGTCCAGCAAGGTAGGTCAAATGCCCGAGTGTCCAGCCGAATGTACAGAAGACATGGGCATCTATAACTGCAGAGAGATGATCAAAGGTTTCACACCAGTTATGTAGTATTAGTGATACGATGCTTTGTTCTTCTCTGTTCAGTACCTGTCTTTTGATAAAGTATCCAGGTGTATTTTTAAATAAAATCTGACCTTTAACACAACTCTTTGCTCAAAAACAAAAAAATGTTTTACATACTGGAGTTCTTACCGTACAATCCCCCCCCCCTCCCAGTTACTCTGCCACCATCCGTGCATGACCAGGGAAGGGTAAAAACACAAACAGTGAGGTCCTCTTCAAGGTGTTTTGTCACTACAACCATACTGTACAGAATGTAGAATCCTGTTCAATAGGCTGATACATAGGGCATTAATGATTGTTGTTGTAATGTGATCTGATCAAATGCCCATTGGAAAGGAAAGAGAGCTCGGACTCTTGGGTTGCTGTAAAGATCAGGCAGCTACTGTACTTTAGGAAATATAGATAATTCTGAAGGTCTCACATATTATTCTGTTGAAAATATTTTCTGATCTTTATATAAATTCTAATAATAGTTAAAGATGGTGCCCCCTGTTAACATTTTGGTTTAAAGAGACACTGTAGACACTATAAATATTTAATGTCATTGAATTTGTTATAGTGCTTGGAGTCCTCTGGGGCTGTTTAACATTGAATTCGGATTCCTGTTGCTTAGGGCCCTACCTCCACTGGAGATGTGGCAGGGTTTATACTTCCTTCTTGCTGTACCAATTCATACCTGCATTGACAGAATTTCGTGCAAACAGAATGTTGAGAATTTGTCCATTTGTGTTGAGATGAAATTTAGTCATTATGTTTGATTCAGAATTTCTTTTGTAAGTGATAAGAAAGGTGGATCTGTTGCACCCCCTGGCCCCCACCCATTGACGGCAGGTGGGGTCCTAAGTGACAAAGTAGCTCAGGCACCATAATAACTTCAGCTGTTGTAATTATGGTTTTTTTTAAGTGTTCCTTTTTAAGCATATATTGGTTTATTTATTTTTAAATCACAAATAAATACATCTTTTATATTTGGTTTATCTTTTTCTGTTTTTTTCCCCCCAGCTGTTGTGGTTGTGTCCTTCGTGTTGTGCTGGTTACCTTTTCACATTGGCCGCATCCTGTTTGCCTTGTTTGGAATAGAACACCTATTTTATGAACTGACACAGTATTTCAATTTAGTCGCTATGATTCTCTTTTACCTGAGCGCATCTATCAATCCCATGCTCTACAACATCATGTCACAGAAATACAGAGCGGCGATGAACAAGATCCTGAAAAGAAGACAATCTCTACAATCCAGGAATATGACAAGAAGCGAGCCACCCTCTATGGAAGGGACAGAGCTCACCTCTATTAATTAACTTATATTAGAGGGACACTCCTGGCACTAAAACTACTTATATATGTTACAGTTAAAGTGAGAAATCAGTTCATGTGCATATTACCTAGTTAATCTGCGTATTAACTGATTTGCTCTGTTAAAGTGCGGAATCGAGTTTTCCGTACTTTACCTAGGTAATGTGCACATTAACTGCTTCCGTATAGTTAAAGTGCAAAATGTTTGTTTCTTTCCCTCAGTAAAAGAGGAATTATTTATTACAAAAATCGTCCTTGCAGAACCTGTTTCACCCTTTCAGTGCAAACTCTGCAGAGTCGTTCACTTCTCATCTGAAGGCAGAAAGATTTTGTCTCGATTCTTTTTGTGAGCAAGTTCCTTTCAATGCCCTCCACCATCAAATTCTCAAAGCATAGACGCATGGCTTGTTGCTTTTCAGAGGGGGCTGGCTACTAACAATGCTGCTCCGTAAGTCCGAGAAATACTTCTCTCGTTGAGGAGGAAGAGACCAAGGAGAGGTCTGCTCATGGACCACTGATTCCGTCTTCAAATATATGATGATATTGAGAACAGTGGAGAGCATCTGCTGGGATCATTTCAGGGTGTTGCTGCATAATGTGCAGGAAGCGCTAGCTCTCTTGTGGTGGTGGGGGCTCCTCATTTCTTAACTGTAACATATACACTTTATAGATTTTGGTTCAAATTATTTGTTTTTCTACATTTCTACATACAGGTTTGTATTCCTTTTGAAAATTGCTTTTTGGGGGGGGAACAAAAGAAACAAAACTTTGGTTTAATTGTTGGATGGCCAGTAATGCAATATAATTCTGTGATATTAACCCTTTGAGTGCCAGGGATTTGACTAGCATATCTTAATGCAAATTTGGAAGTTTTGGAACTTATACAGCTTAAAGGGACTCTCCAGTGCCAGGAAAACAAACCATTTTCCTGGCATTGCAGGTCCCCTCTCCCTCCAACCCCCCATCCCAAGTTGCTGAAGGGGTTAAAACCCCTTCAGTGACTTACCTGTATCCAGCACCAATGTCCCTCGGCGCTGGGTCAGGGTCCGCCCACGCTCCTCCCCTTTATGAAAACTGCAATAATTACACTGGCGTTTTTTGTTTTTTTTTAATATATAAGTTTTTATTATAGATTTCAATATACATAATTAGACAATCACATAAGCAAACAGCATAAACACCAAAAAAAAAACCCACGGATAACAAAACCTAAAAACAAATCTCAAACAATAACAAACATTATCTAGTGGTGTATAAACCTGATCTCTAGTATATCCATACCTTAATCCATTCTTAAACATAAATGCTATCATATTTTACATTACCTAGTGATCTTATGTGTACCTTTATAAATTACTTAAACCATTGTACCAGGCTTATTTGAAAACATAAATTCCCTTTATATACCTCTAGCTTTCACGGTTAACTATTAAATTACTTTATTTCAATTAAATTAATGTATGTAACAACTTCTTATCCATGGCCTACCTCCTATAAATACAATTCCTGACACTAAACCATTTTAGCCAAATTTTTATATATTTTCCTTCCACTCCTGCCAAACGACTTGCCATTCTCTCATAGCTACTTAAAGAGTCTAAGCGTGACCATGGGTGTAAGAACAGGGGGGGTTGGGAGGGACTCATCCCCCCCCAGCAAATCATGCGGGGGGGCAGGTTATAGAGAAAACCCCCACCGGCCGCAGGTGCCCTCGGGCTGCGTGCGGCTCCATCAGGGAACCGCACACACTGCAGACTGGGAAGGGGAGCACCTCCCCCTCCGCGCAGGAGCGCCGGGTGTCGCATGACTACCCGGCGCTCAGTCTGACACTGCGCCCGCCTGACGTCCAGAAGTCCCCCTGCTATGTCAGGTAAAAGAGGGTGTCACGTGCGTGGGCTATAGGCCCAGCCGAGACAGTGGGGAGAGTGTGGAAGTGACAGGGTTAATAACACCAGACCCCTGGTTACCTGTTGCTAGTCCCAGCAACCACTCAATTAACCCCTGCAATCCCTTCTACACTAACTCCCTTAGTACACACTTTACTGCCACCACCAAGACTTTTAAACCCGGGCGTCTTAGGTTACCCCACACACAGGAGAATTATAGTATCACAGTTCTACTTTTACTGATAAACCATATACAGTTAACCCTTTTTGGTAACGTTTTTACCTGAGCTTTCCTCTGGAGAGTGAAGCTCATAGAGAACAGAGACACAAGCTGATTAAGTAAACATTTAATCTGACAAAAAGGATTCACAGTGCTGAGTACAAAATACAGAAATAAATGACATACAGATAACAAATTGCAAAACAGTACATAAAATAAAATAGGAGAAAACACAAGAAATTCCTTACATATATTTACCCCATATAGAATTCTTGTGGGAGTCTTAGATGGTATAGGTCTCCTAGAAGTTACTGACAAAAGAAAAATGAATAACTGACCTCCCTGGATAGTCCAACACCCTCATATATCTAAACTAGTTGTTTCTCAGTGGGCAGACCCCTGGGGGGGGGGGGATCAGAGGGGGTTGGTCTGGCAGTCTATTGCCCACTCTATGAAATTCCTTGTGTCCAGCTCTGGTGATGGCTATCTAGATGTTTTATGGTGTAGGCCTGGTGCAAGATCAAAGACCACAATAAATGTCATCCCAAGGTTTACAAAAAAACAACTCAACATATATAAACACACATCAAACACCAACTCATGCTTTTGGCATGACACCTCCCCCTTAAGATGGTGGACAGAAAAATTCAGCCACAGGCTGATTTATCTGTCTACCATTAACCTTTGGTTCACAATCAGACAGTTGCTTAGGTGTATGCGTGAGTTGTGATAAACTGACAAGGTTCCTGGTTCCTCCAACAATATGTTTCCCTGCAGCCATCCTTCCTGGACCCACAGGCTGAGTCTGTCCGTGCCCCTCACTTTCACTCCAGGTCATCACACATACCGAACTTTGGAAACTGGCTAAGCCTGCCGCAGAGTAAAGCTCACACACCCTCTGCCCTCCCTCATAGCCTTGCTGTCCCTTCACATTTTCACCCACCACATCACATACATCTGCTTCAGGCACATATATTCATTCAGCCCCCTCTCGCTGGAAGGCTTTTCCCATACATTTTCACAGGACACATTTGACCCCCCCTTGATCAGATGCAGAATTTTGCACACACTCACATAATTTCTTCTCCAAGGCAGGCCCTCCTCTCACAATCTCACATAGCACCTCAGACTGTCCTGCTGCAGCCCTGACCCACTGTTGACTTGTTACCACTGCGACTAGTGGTACACATCCCTGGCTCTCACCTTCCTCCTCCCCCTTACTCTCTGAAATCCTAGCCTCACAGTATTTTGATACAGGCACATCACTACTCACCCCTATCTCACATTTGGTAGACATCACTGGTTCAGTTACAGGTAGATATTTATCCACACCCTGCTCTCCCTCCCAGCAATCACAGTTCACAATGTCTCCTAAAGTTTCACACAATACCTTAGGTGGAGCAGTCAGCCCTTCTGGCTCACAAACAGTGTCCACTGGAGCATAGTGACAGAGCATCCTGCCCAAATCATTCCCCAACAGAACATTAACAGGGATATCCTCTGAAATCCCCACTTCCCGCAAACCTTTGCCCGCACCCCAATCAAGGTACACACGTGCCAAGGGCACAGCGGGGCATACACCCCCAATTCCTTTGATGGACATGGTTCTTCCAGGGATTATGTCCTCCATATTCACGACTTCAGGGCGCACCAGGGTGAATGAAGCTCCAGAATCTCTCAGTCCCATGGTCACTCGGTCACCCACAATTACACTCTGCAGGTTATCGTCTCGTTTCCCCACGGACCCACCCACAAGCAAAACTGATGGTGCCCCTCCACGGGCTGGTGAGGGTATATTCCTAGTGGGGCAGGTCCTGCTCAGATGACCAATCTGGTTGCATCGAAAATAACGGCGGGCATCTGACTCACTAGACATAGCCCCGGCTACGCTGGCAGTCGGCGGTGAAGTTCTCACTGCAGATCTTACAGGTGGTGATTGAACTGTAGCTTCTCTCCAGGTCGAAGTAGCAGCTGACACCAGTCCACGCCTGGATGTGGGTGCATGGATGTTGGCATAGTCATCTGCCAGTTCTGCAGCAGCCCTAGCATTTTTTGGCTTTCTTTCCAAATCCACTTTCGTACATTAGGGCTCCGGGTCTGCAAGAACTGCTCCAGGACCATTAAGTCATTAAGGGCTTCATAGGTAGTAGCTTGTACTCCCATTACCCATTGCTGGAATGTGGTTTCTAATTGTGCAACATATAGAATGCAGCTGGATGATGGGCATTGCTGCATACTCATAAACTTTTTCCTGTAAGACTCAGGAGTAGGGTTAAAAGTTTTTTGCAATCAGGGGAGGGCTGGCAGCCTTAGGCCTGGGGGGCAAAACCAGTCAAGTGGCCCATTGCACCACCAAATCAGTTCACCATCCATGCCCACCTTTTCCTGGTTTTATAACGGATATTGATGTTATGCTAATCAGTAGCTCTTTGCCATACCCGCTCCTTCACGGCTCCAGGCACTGCTTGTTGTGAGTGTGAGCCACTGTAAATTAGGGGCAGAGGGCACTTGCACTGCGGTAAAGATGGGGCTGGACAGGAGGAGAGTGCAGTGCAATCAGTGCACTCCCCTCCTGTGGGTCACCAGTAGACTGGTGCACCTGACCAGGATCAGTGCCGGTGCAAGGATTTTTGCCGCCCTAGACAAAATAAAAATTTGCTGCCCCCCCATGTGACATCACAATGCCCCACCCATATGAACTAACGCCAGTGCTGCACACAGTGTGTGTTTACATTAAAACCTGCAGGGACCAGCTATAGACACCAGAACCACTTCATTAAGCTATAGTGTCCCTTGTATGTGAGGTACATTATAGATTAGTGTCACTAATAATATACTAGATTGCCTACTTACAAGCAGATGAGGATGATGATGGGCTGCAGTTTGGCTCCACTGGTCTGGTGTAGAACAGGATCTCTGGAGGCTGTTTGCAGTTGTGGTCACAAAATTCAATGTTCTGGGAGAATTGGAAGCAGCTCCATTTTTTGGGGGGGTCTGGGCCCCAGGGCCTGACGGTGAGTATGCCCATAAGGCCCACTCATAAGTTCCACCCACCCATGAGTTCGCTCACAGGGAGTGGAGTGTGTAGGGGATGTGTTATGTGTTATTGTAGAGGATCTAATATGTGTGCTTATGGTATGTAGTGTATAGGGTTACCAGTTTGTGCAGGTGATGTAGTGTGTTTGTGTGTAGTGGAAGCAGTGTGTATTTGTGTATAAGGGATGTATTATGTGTTTCTGGTTGTGTGTAAGGGATGCATTGTGTGAATCTGTGTTTGTATGCATAAGGGATGCAAGGTGTGTGTCTGTATGTGTGTGCATTGAGTGTAAGAGATGCATTGTGTTTCTGTGTGTATGTAAGAAAAGAAGTGTGTGTGTTTGCATGTGTGTGTACGGGTTTGCATTGTCTGTTTCTGTGTATGTGTGCAAAGGATGCATTGTCTTTGTGTGTAAGGGTTGCATTGTGTGTGTGTGTAATGGATGCATTGTGTGTTTCTCTGTGTGTAAGGGAAGCATGTTGTGTTTCTGTGTATGTATAGGGATGCATTGTGTGTGTGTGCGCGCGCGTAGTGTAAAAGAGCTCCCTGTCTTGGCCCCTGTCCTATAGAGCTGCCCCTTCTGTCCCGTAGAGCTCTCCCCTGCACCTTAGTGGTCTCTCCTCTCCCCCACCCTCCCCTAGCGGTCTCTTCTCACACTCACCCACCCTCCCTGTGCTCTTCTCATCCCCCCCTCCACCCTCCCTGTGTTCTTCTCACTCCTCCCTCTATGTGTTCTCCTCACACCCCCTGTGTTCATCTTACCCCCCTCTTCCCTGTGTTCTTCTTACTTCCCCCCTTGGTCGTCGTATTCCCCCACCTGTTCTTCTTACTCCCCCACCTGTTCTTCTTACCCCCTTCTTCTTATTGCTCCTCCTTCTTCTTCTTACTCCTCCCTCTTCTTCTTACTCCCCCCTCTTCTTCTTACTCCCCCCTCTTCTTCTTACTCCTCCTTCTTCTTCTTACTCCTCCTTCTTCTTCTTACTCCTCCTTCTTCTTCTTCTTACTCCCCACTCTTCTTCTTCTTACTCTTTTTCTTTTTTTTTTTGACAATCTCGTGTTTATTAGTATTTTAGGTAATGAATACAGAACAGAACATAGTACAAGAAGGAAATCCCCGGCACTCAATTACATGATGGAGACGTCTTGCGGTTGCCTCGATGCCCGAGTGCTGCGTCCCCTTTCCCCCTCTGCTAGGACTCCCCCTCCTGCTCGCCATCTCGTCACCTTCCACCCCACCCCCCCCCTTACCCTCTCAACCGGCTTCTGTACAGCGATATAGAATACCAGGGCCAGTATATGAGTATTAGTTTGTTGCCCATCACGCCCCCTGCTCATTTCGCTATGGCTAGTGTTCCTAAGGCTCTTCGCCTCAAGCTCTATGCGTCAGGGCCTGTGCCGCAAGCCCTTCCTGATAGCAGGTTAGTGTGGGCGTTGCGTCTGGTGCCCCCACAACCACTGCCGGTGAGTTTTATGGAGTGGTCTCCTGTCACCTCTTGGCGGGCGCCCCCCCGAGGCTGTCCCCCTCTCCAGTCCCTCCAGTGTATTCGTGAGTCCTAAGACCGAGTTAGATCCATTACACCTCGTTGTCCCCTACTCCCCCCCCTTGGCTATGTTATCCCACACTTCCACAGTATCGTCCCCCCCGTCCCTAGTCCCTCGAGCTCTAGAACCACCTTGCCCACCTTCCCGCAGCGTACAGCTTAGGTCTCCCCAGCCCTCCCTCCCCTCCTCCCTTCTCTCCTCCCCCCTCCCCTTCTGTGCCTCTACACTCCGTCCTGTGTCGGGAGTGTTAACTAATCGTCCATCCCTGGTTAACGTGGCTCTTGTGCTAGGCTCGCGCCCAGTGTGTCCCTGTCTCGATCCCCCCCCCCCCCCCCTCCCCCCACTCGTAGCAAGTTCCCCCCCCCGGTCACCCCTCCGCCGGTACTATTGTCATTTAGCACTCGTCACGCATTGTGGGCTGGGCGGGCTCGGGACATGTGGAGGCCGTCGCCGGTCTCCCCAGGGCATCTCCCCCTCCGTGGCAGGCAAAACCACAATGGAAACTATGAATAAAATGCTACCCTGGGTGGGCGCATTTGTGAAACCAAATGCACGTAGTCGACAGAATGGATGGCGGCCATTTTGTATCCCGAACGCAGGCAGTGGTACCTGGCTGTCAAGTGCTTGGAACTGATTTAGACTAGGCACTCCTGCGAACAGTGGTGAAGATGGAACTGCTGCCCGTTCAAGTTCCCGACCACTTATACGAACGGCATTCGGGAGATGTGAACTACCGTCGAGGGGGAGCAGTCGACGCTTGAAAGCATTCGGATATTTTGTGTAGTTTTCATAGGGATATCCTCGAACTGAGACCTGACAATTCCACGATTTATCTGGAACTATTTTGGGCCTCTAACTCGTGGCCGGACAGTCAAAATGTTACGTTGATGGCAATTCCAAACCACTGAACCCATCTGTAATGGACACGGGTTTATTATGGTCTTATTCATTAGAAATCACTTAATACAGTTTATTATGTTGAGTGCCATTTTAGAATTGTACCATTAGGGGGAGTAGTGAGCACCTTTTTGGAGACTTTCTTTGTCTGAGCCATGCGGCCAAGATGTGTGTCAGTTTGGATATTAATTGTTAAATCATATCTCTTCGAGTGTACATTCTTTTTGTTTGTTTTTTGGGTAATACTTTCAGGAGAGTGTTATTTGACTCCCATTGTGATGCATGCCACATGTGACTAACTCCATTTTGGAATAGCCCATATGGTGAGTAGACTCCATTTTGGATTCATCCTATTTCATTTGTACTTTGGGAGCAACATCTAAATTATTAAGATATACCAGTTAATACCATATCTGGTATTAATTTAGATATTTGGAACAATTAATAAA